CAGTAATATCTCTTTTTGGATCTATTTATTTGTAATAAATATTTGATTATTTTGGATATTTAGCCGACAAAATGTATTTCAATGTTACGCTAATTGTTATAATAAATATTTATATTACTTGTAAATACGCGATAACTCTCAATGCAATTGTTGCCACATATCTGTAAGTATAGGAATTTGTGTTGTCATTGAAATGCAATTTTGTTGTTAATAGGAATTATTTACAAAGAATTTGTGATGAAATCAAGAATATTCCACATATCGCTCAAATAGTCGGCAATTCCTAAATCCCACAATTGTTTTACTTCACTCCATATTAAACCTGATATGCAAACAAAATAATGTAAAAATTTTGATAATAAATTTAAACACAACTAATTATGTATATGCAAAGTGTGATAGATGTTACCTAAAACCCAGGCTAGAATGCATAGTTCAATGGGAGAGGGAGGCGCTCCCCTATAATATTGTACACAACAATAGTTTATTTTTCTTATAAGAAAATTGACAGCAATTATAGGATAATAACCTTTTCGTTGTTACAAATTCTTGTGCAAATGTATTGCTAAATATATCGGTCTCTATTCGTTGTGACGCCAGTATTAATAATACTAAACAAACATTTGTTTAAGGCATAAATGTCAGTCAATATGTATGGTATATTCCGTACACTATATGCATAGTGTGTGTGTGTTATGTGAATGATATGACTTACGAAGAAACGTGATATAACTGGCCGAATGAGATATGAATTTAATGAATGGCTTTTTAATGAATTGTCCTATTAGTGAGTGCGGCGCCAATATATAGGCCACCGATAGTATGGGAAAGAGTAGGCCTATGAGCAGCAATTGGATTGTCTGGACGATTATGTTTTTGCGGCGAAACCCGGGCAGACCCTCGTACCAGATGCTGGCCAACAGTTGTTGTACATTGGCGTGTGCGCAAAACTGTGCAGGGTGCATTCAAATGTGTTTAGTTATTTGAAATTCATGTTTAAACTACTGCAAATAAAATTATTTTTATGTAAACATTTACAGAGAGAGAGAGAGAGAGAGAGAGAGAGAGAGAGAGAGAGAGAGAGAGAGAGAGAGNAGAGAGAGAGAGAGAGAGAGAGAGAGAGAGAGAATTTAAAACTATTACAATATTTAGAAATGTTTCGTATAAATACACAGAATTCTGTTAATATATTATTATTATACTATATATTCGTTGTGTATATAATTCCCAAAACACATAAAAGCATTTATTCTGTCAAATGATATTAAAATAATTTATTACCAGTTTTTGTTTGACACGAATCGCCAGTTTAAGTCTCGCCAATTGCATCCTTCCATGTGTTTCTGGTGTGGTTTGAAAAACATATATAATTATCACATAAACACGTATTTAAATAATTATTTAATTAAATTTCTTCTCGCCTTTACCCAACGGATCTCCTAATGGATCATAATTTAGTAAAACCTATTATTTTTGAATGCAAAATAAAATGAAATAATAGTGTAATGAATTAATAAAATAATTATGATAAATATGAGGCAAATATTTAGTTCCCAAACCTGCAGTTCTTCTGTAGTCCGCGTGTGATCTAAGAGAGCGGTGGCGAAGGACTGGCACTGACGCCGGAGCTCAAGGTATTCGCACTTGAATTCCGGCTCCAGGAATGACAGTCGCCTCAACTGCCAGCTCAGCTCAAACGCCGTTAGGATCGGGTCTTTACTCGATAGCTATTCCCCAAAACAATACCCAAACAATAGTTAATTAATAGCTATTTTTTGAATGTTTGTTCAATAGTTTTTGTTTAATTTGTGAAAATACCGCGAATTTTTCAATGTTTATCGTACGAGCATTAACTTTAAATGACATGTAATTATATTCGTTAATACTATATGTTTTCCTAAAATAAATGCCTTTTCATTATGTGTTAAATTAAATAAATAAAAGATTTTATTGTATTAATGAAATGAAAATATAATTGTGAGCGAAATATTTACAATGACTCTATATTTGCAAAATCTCTGACATAATTAAGTTTAGCGATAGATTATTTGCATTGAATTTTATCGCATTTAATCGATATTTAAGTTTGAGATAAAGGGAAGTAAAATTCAAAATTCTTTAAACGTTTTGCATTTGAAGTCAAATCGATATTAAAGAATATTATGTATAAAAATAATTAATCAATAAATGAATGCAAACAAAAGAAAAATGAAAGAAAGAAAGAAAGAAAGAGAGAGAGAGAGAGATTGTTTGACATTCAGGTATTTATTCCTACAGAGTATTCAACGCTTATATCCCAGAATCAGAGGTTTTCCAAACCCATCATCTCATACAGTCTCAGCTGTTGTCATAGTAACGCATCAATTGCTCCATTGCTTCAGAATGTGTTATACAATACATCTCTTGATAATTCATTCACCAGAGACTGGAGAGAGAGAGAGAGAGAGAGAGAGAGAGAGTAATTGATTACCGCAATCAAAGAGGGAGAACACAACGCTTTGTAGGCATTGATCCGCGATCTCGAGTGTCGTAAACAATCTGATCAATGAATAGCAAAGATATTGTTTAAAAATGAGAAAATATTTAACAACACATTAATAGAAACACTAATAAGCTATTAGAATAAAATTTTTAAATATAATATATTGACACTAATTGATAACAATCACAAAACATGTTTATCGTTAAATTCTTGATAATATTCTGTAAGGATTGATGTGAATAATGATAATAACCTTCTTTGTTGGCGAGTCGACAGTCTTTGCAGCCACAGCGGGCGTCGTGTGGGGCCGGCATCTAATCAATAATCAAACCAATCAATTATATTTTGCTTATAAAAACAAATCAAAAGTGACATACAGGAGAAGTACCACGGTCTAAAATTATTTTGATTATCTCATAGTTATTTCGATGGGCGGCCAAAACCAATGGTGTGATATCCGATGTGAATGTTTCCCTCTCTACCGCTTCCCAAGACTTTTCACGTATTGTTAAGTAATATACAAAATAAGAAGTGGTTTCCCTTAGATTGAGCTAATTTTGTATGAATTGAGAAAATAATTCTCACGTGAGGCTGATCTGCGACATGTGTCTGGTCTTCATTGTCGAGCAGTAGTTCCACGGCTTCGACAAACTCTTCATTAATGGCGTGAAGGAGTGCGTCCTTCATCTCAACGCCGGCGTTAATTAATAGTTCACACATTTCTAGGTTTTCGTTGTCAATAGCCATCAGTAAACCACTCCTTCCGATCGGATCGCAACAGTTTATGTTCATTTCACCCGCCGGTGTCTCCACTATATATCTAATTAAATGGAAATATATGTCAATGAAATGAGTGGTAATTATTTAATGCAAAGAGTAGTAAAAGAGTGGTAATCCAATGGTCAGACCTGCGGACAGCGGGTAAATCTCCCCTCTCGACGGCCAATAGAAACCGTTTCTCTAATATTGTGAGCGGTTTATACTGTGGCGGCACTTGATTAGGGTTGGATCCGATCGGGTAATTCATTTTGATGCTGTCGTAATTCATATCACTTCCTTCAACCTCTGCCTCTTCCTCCAAGTCTTCGCGCATTTTGTTTCTGGACTTCACAACACGTTTTGAAAGTGGAAATATAGTGGACGTGAGCGACAAAATCAACTCGATTTCAATCCCAAGAATTACACCGAATAGTTATCGAGTTGTTTTGTGATCACATTTTTGTGATTTGTGGTCCAAACAAATGATGTGTGTGTTTGACATTCAGGTATTTATTCCTACAGAGTATTCAACGCTTATATCCCAGAATCAGAGGTTTTCCAAACCCATCATCTCATACAGTCTCAGCTGTTGTCATAGTAACGCATCAATTGCTCCATTNGTCTGGTCATCAGATTACCACTCTTTTACTACTCTTTGCATTAAATAATTACCACTCATTTCATTGACATATATTTTCTTTAATTAGGTATATAGTGGAGACACCGGCGGGTGAAATGAATATAAACTGTTGCGATCCGATCGGAAGGAGAGAGAGAGAGAGAGAGAGAGAGATCATTAATAAATATCACAAAGTATATAAATGTGATCAAGTGGATTCTGCTAGCATTAAAATTTAATAGTACATTAATTTTTTTAATCAATGATATATTAAATTTTCCAATATATTATAATTGACATATTATTTAATTGTTAAATTAAAACTACCCAGTTCATAAACCTTTAATGTAAATTTGGCAGTTTTAAAGCAAATAATAGTTAATAATCACATGAATCTTATGATCCGAATATAAGCGTTACAAATAAATCCAAACATTTATTACAGATTCACTCAAATGGTTTATAAGCAGCAAAAAATAGTAGACAAAAAATTCAGCGATAGTTTTGTGAGAGCTTTACGAATGAATTAATTTGTCTCATGATATATGATATGAATATTGTTTTTACAAAAATAAAAATAGATATTTATTTATAAAGTAATTAATTGTTTTCAAATATATACTTAATTTTGTGATACTTTGTTACAGAATATTCTTAAATAAAAACTTTGATAATTTAGAAATTACATAAAATTTTAAAGTATAGTTAATATTCAAAATTCTATTAATGATACAAATATTTAGAATAGAGAGAGAGAGAGAGAGAGAGAG